GTCCCAATCACCCTGCTGCTGCTGCCACTGCTGGCCACGGCCACGGTGGCTGCAAGGCCTGAGCCCTGGGCCTCGCAGCCACTGGAGCTGATGGCTTCCTGAGCTCTGGGCCTCACAACCCATGAGCCCACGGCTGCCATGAGTCCCAGGTCTTGCAGCCACCAGGGCTCATGGATGCTTGAGCCCTGGGCCTCGCAGCCACCAGGGCTCATGGCTGCCTTGCAGCTGCTGTGGCTTTGTCCGGATGGACATCCAGATGGATATCTGGAAGTCATCCACCCTAATTAGCATATTACCCTTTTATTAGTATAGATAATAATTATAACATCATCAAGTCACCATAATAAAACATCTTTTTTTTTCCCTCAGCTAAACAAAAAAAATAAATAAATAAATAAAAAAAATAAAAGAAAAGAAGAAGTAATACTATTTCTAGTTTCAGATTATATGATCTGGTATATAGAAAATCCTGGAGAATCCCATAAAAACCTACTAGATGTACTAAAAGTTCAGCAAGGTTGCAGTATACAAGATAAATATATAGAAATCAATTGCACTTGTCTATCCTTGCATGAACAATCCGAAGATAAAACTAAGAAAACAATTCCACTTATGATAGCCTGAAGAATAGAATACTTAGGAGTAAATGTAACTAAATCAGTGCAAAATGTATACTTTCAAAACTACAAAACATCGTTGAAAGATATTAAAGAAATATAAATAACTGGGAAAACATCTCATCTTGGATCAGAAGATTTATAATGGTTAAAATGGCAATACTCACCAAGTTGATCTACAGATTACACACAATCTCTATAATATTTGAAAATGACTTTATTGAAATTGAAAAGCTAATTCTAAAATTCATATAAAATTTTAAGGGACCCAGAATAGCCAATAAAGAAGTCTAAAAAGAACAACAAAGTAGATGGACTCATACTTCTTGATTTAAAAACTAACTGCAGCCCAGCCAGTGCAGCTCAGTGGTTGAGCATCGACCTATGAACCCTGAGTTCACAGTTCCATTCCTGGTCAAGGAATATGCCGGGTTGCAGACTCTGTCTCAGTGTGGGGCATGCAGGAGGCAGCTGATCAATAATTCTCTCTCATCATTGGTATGTCTATCTCTCAATCTTCCTTCCTCTCTGAAGTCAATAAAAAATATATTTAAAAACAACTTAAAAAAAACTTACTGCAAAGCAATGATAATCATGACACTGAAGAAAAGGAAACCCTGGTGTAGTATTAGTGAGAATGTAAATAGGTATAGCCATTATGGAAAACAGTAGGAAGGTTCCTCAAAAATGAAAATAGAACTGCCATATAACCCAGCAATTCCACTTTTGGGTATTTATTCAAAGGAAATGAAAACACTTAAACTTGATAAGATATATGCACCCCCAAGTTCATTGCAGCATTATTTATAAGAGTCAAGGCATGGAAACAACTTAAGTGTCCATTGATGGATGAGTGGATAAACAAAATGACACACACACTTGCAAACACACACCCCACTGGAATATTATTCAGATATTAAAAGAAGAAAATCTTGCCATTTATGACAACATGAATGAATCTTGAGGGCATTATGTGAAACAAGCAAGATAAAAACAAATATTGTATGTTCTCACTTATATGTGAATATAAAAACACACACACAAAAAATGAATTAATAGATACAGAGAACCAATTGGTGACAGGCAGAGGTAGGGGGAGGGGTGCAAAGTGGATGAAGTGGTCAAAAGGGCACAAACTTTCAGTTATAAAATAAGTCATGGGGATGTAATGTACTGCATGGTAAGTACTAGTAATAACATTGTTTTGTATATTTGAAAGTTGCTAAGAAAGTATATCTTAAAAGTTCTCATCATAAGAAAAAATTTGTAATTGTGGGTGAATGTTAACTAGACTTATAGTGGTGAACATTTTATGATATGTACAAATATTGAATTATTATGTTGTATACCTAAAACTAATATATGCCAATTATATCTCAATAAAAAAGAAAAATAAGATAATTGAACCTAATAGGAGGGCCATTGGGGGTGAGATCAGGCCCGCAGGGGAGGACAGTTGGAGGCAAGATTAAGTTGGCAGGGGAGGGCAGCTGGGGGCGAGATCAGGCCAGCAGGGGAGGGCAGTTAGGGGTGATCAGGCAGGCAAAGGCAGTTAGGAGTGATCAGGCTGGCAGGGGAGAGCAGTTAGGGGATGAGATCAGGCCCGCAGGGGTGAGCAGTTGGGGGTGAGATCAGGCCAGCAGGGGAGAGCAGTTAGGGGATGAGATCAGGCCAGCAGGGGTGAGCAGTTAGGGGATGAGATCAGGCCCGCAGGGGTGAGCAGTTAGGGGATGAGATCAGGCCAGCAGGGGAGAGCAGTTAGGGGATGAGATCAGGCCCGCAGGGGTGAGCAGTTAGGGGATGAGATCAGGCCAGCAGGGGAGGGAAGTTGGGGGTGAGATCAGGCCAGCAGGGGAGAACAGTCAGGGGATGAGATCAGGCCAGCAGGGGAGGGCAGTTGGGGGCGACCAGTTTGGCAGGGGAGGGCAGTTGGGGGCGACCAGTCTGGCAGGGGAGGGCAGTTGGGGGTGATCAGGCAGGCAGAGGCAGTTAGAAGTGATCAAGCAGGCAGGCAGAGAGGTTAGGGGTGATCAGGCAGACAGGCAGGTGAGCGGTTAGGAGCCAGCAGTCCCAGATTGCGAGAGGGATGTCCGACCACAGGGGATCGGACCTAAACAAGCGGTCGGACATCCCCCAAGGGGTCCCCAATTGGAGAGGATGCAGGCTGGGCTGAGGGAAACACCCCCCACACCCACATGAATTTCGTGCACTGGGCCACTAGTATCTCAATAAAAAAGAAAAATAAGAGAATTGAACCTAATAGGCAATAAAAGGATATTAACACAAAAATAGACAAATAAACAACTATTTAATGACTATTTTAAGAACAATTCTGGCCGAAACCGGTTTGGCTCAGTGGATAGAGTGTCAGCCTGCGGACTGAGAGGTCCCAGGTTCGATTCCGGTCAAGGGCATGTTCCTGGGTTGCGGGCACATCCCCGGTGGGGGATGTGCAAGAGGCAGCTGATCGATGTTTCTCTCTCATCGATGTTTCTAACTCTCTCTATCTCTCTCCCTTCCTCTTTGTGAAAAATCAATAAAATATATTTAAAAAAAAAAAATGCCCTAACTGGTTTGGCTCAGTGGATAGAGCGTCGGCCTGCGGACTGAAAGGTCCCAGGTTCGATTCCGGCCAAGGGCATGTACCTTGGTTGCAGGCACATCCCCAGTAGGGGGTGTGCAGGAGGCAGCTGATCGATGTTTCTCTCTCATTGATATTTCTAACTCTCTATCCCTCTCCTTTCCTCTCTGTGAAAAATCAATAAAATATATATTTAAAAAAAAAACACAAAAAAAAAACCAATTCTGTTTCAGTTTAGAAAAAAATTAACTTGGATCCTATATATTGCAACAAATTCCATATGAATAAAAGTCTTAATAACAACAAAACAGAGTAATATACATATTCTGACTCTTGGTGGGAAAAATGTATCCTGAATATTGACGAAAGAGGAAATACCTTCACAATATATTTCTGAATACAGAAAACAGGGGTGGGGAAACTTTTTTCTACCAAGGACCATTTGGATATTTATAACATAATTCTTGGGCCATACAAAATTATCAACTTAAAAATTAGCCTGCTATATTTTGTCAAACATTTAAAAAATATGTCTTTATTGATTTCAGAGAGGAAGGGAGAGGGAGAGAGAGATAAAAACATCAATGATGAGAGAGAATCATTGATCTGCTGCCTCCTGCATGCCCCACACTGGGGATCGAGCTCATAGAGAGCCTACAACCTGGGCATGTGCCCTGACCTGGAATCAAACCCTGACCTTCTGGTTCATAGGTTGACATATAACCACTGAGCCACGCCAGCTGGGTTGGTCAAACATTTAGTTAACTCACTCCTAATGACTTGGTAGGGTCAGACCAAATGATTTCAAGGGCCTTATTGGCCCAAGGGTCAATGTTCCCCACCCCTGACATAAAAGCTTAAAAAAGGTTTTCTGCAATTAACTATTGAAATCAAGTAACAGAATGAAGAAAAATTACAACATAATAAGCTAATAAGGAATATTTGCTTTTTAATATTTTAGCAAATATTTGCATGCGTATATATAGACTTAAGTATATAAATATAAATTTATATTGTATTGCTGATAAATATATATGGTATATACACATAAAAATATAAACATATGATCTATACTCATATCTAGATACTTTGTCAAGGAAGAAATATTGAAGAAAATGCAAACATACAAGCACATGGCATTGTCATGGTGAAAACATAACATCCCATGACAAATGTATTAATTACAAAATGTACTACATTTAGTAAATAAACTTGCAAAAAAAATTCAAGAGGCTAATTGTGGCAGAAAAATGGAAAAAAGGGTGCAAGCACACATTGCTAATACACTTGAAATGTCATTCCTAGGCCTGGAGTTCTCAATTTCAAGCAGCTTTGAATTCTAACAGGGCTCCAGCCCTGCTCAATACAGTGCCTGTTGACTGGACTGGACATTCAAGTCCTCAGAGAAGCCTCTGCCTGGGTAACCCATCAAACTTTCTGCTCCCTGTTTGTCCTTATGTGTTTCCAGACCGGGGCAATTCCTGATATTTTTACTTTCCAGCCCAAACTAACTTCTACATTTAGTAGGCTCAGGGCAGGTCAGGGGTTAAAGAAAAAGCTCCCTTTCTCAGTTGTCAACTGGGACTCATTTGCAAACAGGTTATTCATTTCTGTCATGAGACTTGGAAAGGCTTGTTTTTTGTTTTTATTTTTCAACGAATGTGAATGATTTGGAATTTATGACTTCCTGTCAAAAGACGAAAGAAACAGGGAGTCTGTCAGCTCCGGCAGGAAGTTCATCTTTAAAGCATGGAGGAACGCTGGAGATTTGCAATGCAAAGCACGGTAGTGCGTTTTAGCAGCTGGTCACGTTTGGCTCTTGGCCACATATTTTGCACACGGGCGTATGTTTTGCCCAGCTGAGCGAGGCGGTAGCGACGGTGCAGCTGGACGCAGGTGACCACGACGTGGCGCTGGCCGCGGGTCCCGCGAGGCGCGCCCGCACGACCAGCGAACTACAACTCCCGACGCTCACGGCCATCTCCGCAGGAGGCCCTTGTCCCCAGCACAGAGTCACCCGGATACGGAGCTGGGGGTGCGTGACAGCCAGCGGCATGGAGTCCCGGACTGCAGACGGCTGCTTCCTGGGCGACGTGGGTGCGTGCGGGGCGCCGCGGGTGCGGCGGGCGCGGGGCTCGGGCACCCCGGAGCTGGGGGGTTGGAGCTGGGGGATTGGCAAAAGACCGAGGACCGCCGGAGCCGGCTCTTGGCTCTCGGGGACTGTAGAGGTGCATCTGATGGCACTGGCTTTGTGATCGATGATGCGCCCTTTGAATGTGTCTTCTGGGGCGGGTTTGATGGGCCCTGTTTGGAGGGTCCTGTCCTTAAAGGAGCGGGGTCCGGGATCCCATGCTTTCAGACGTGATTTCTGTGCCCCACCCCTTGCCCCCCCCCCCCCCCCCCCCCCCCCCGCGTCCCAGCGCGTCCCAGGGCTGGTCATCATCGTGACGCAACAACAGTGGGACTTCGGAACTGCAGACTCACCACTAGAGCTCTGGCAACCTTGAGGAAGATGCCCAGCGGGGTGGGGGGGGGGGGGTGGCGTGGGGGGTAAGGGTGGGTGGGTAGTCATTGCCAAGTCCGAGGAGAAACTAGGAAATGGCCATGACGGACCAAGGGTAGGGCAGCCCTGGTGGGAGCTGGAACATCTTCCAGGAGCTGCTGAGAAGGCAGTGCGCTGTGTCCTTAGCATCCCGCCCCCCCCCCCTCCCTCCCCCCCCCCCCACACATACACACCCTGGGTGACAGAAGGAATCAGCTCCAGAGGGAGGATGTGACCTTGAGATGTTGTCACACTGTAAAAAATGAAATCTCGGTTCTTCACTGATTCTTCTTTACCATTTGGGCTACCCAAGAATGAAATGGAGTTGAGGGCAAAGGACATTCTTTCTGGGAGCAAACTTTCCTGCCTCTGAAGTTAAGACTATGGCAGTGGGTGCTCTTCCAGCTTCCCCAGTGAGGCCTGCCCTCCTGCACCTTCTTGGGCCATGTGGGCCAGCCCTAGGATTCTTAACATCGCCTTCTTTCTGCCTCCATCCCAGAATCACTGTGAAATGTCATGATGGACTTAAAGTGAAGGAAATAAAAGTAAAATCACTTCAGGGGGGAAAAGGAACTATGGCAATTAAAAAATGAACAGTGAAAGCCTGGAAAGAAAACAAAATCTGAAGTATTTCTACACTGGTAAAAACAGTAGTGGGAATAAAAGTGAGATGTCTTGAAGGTAAATTTAGCTTAAGAGGAATTGTGGTCATAGCAAGGCAAATATATTTCAATTGATTTTGCAAAAGAGCCATCTTCAACATGATCAAAAGTATTTACTAAACATCTATTTTTACTTGGCATTCCACCCCAGACAGACACAAGACTTTGAACCTGCCAATGTGATCTATATTTGATTGGATCAGTTAAATAAGCAATGAACAGCTAATCACTGAAGCTGATTAAATTTTTTATTATTTTTATTCAGGCACAGCATTCAGTAGCATGACATAACTTCTGAGCAAGTGTTTTGTTTGTTTTGTTTTTGCAGAATTTAAGGAATGTGACTTTAAAAGAAAACACACTCTAAACCTGGCGTCCTCAAACTACCGCCCGCGGGCCACATGCGGCCCACCAAAAACATTTATCCGGCCGCCGGGTGTTTTTGCCGCTGCTGCCTGTCCTGCTTAGCAGCCAACTCGTCCCGGGCCTGCAGTGCGCATGTGCGGAATGTCTGAGGGACAGTGAACTGGCCCCTTGTTTAAAAAGTTTGAGGACCTCTGTTAAACTAATAGATACACAGCTTCTGGAGTTCATGGATATTTTTATTGTTTTACTATATTTCTCCAAGATATGTCCTGTTGACATTTCTATTCTCAACACTAATGAATAAACTGAATGTGTTCAATCCAAAACAACACTGCTATCCCAGCAGAAGTATAGGCCCATCATAGGGCCATTTTAACATTCTGATCTCAAATTCTGTATGTGTATGGTGTTACAACCAAAGCATGTAAATTTTCCAGGTTTTTTATTTTATTTTATTTTAAAATTGAATTTTAGAGAGCAAGGACGGGAGAGAGAGAAAAAAAACATGAACATGAGAGAGCTAAACATCCATTGGCTGCCTCCTGTCTGCCCCACTCTCCCGACCGCCTCCCCTACCCCCCACACACATACTAGGGATCTAGCCGGAAACCCAGATATGTGAACCAGCAATCTTTTAGTGCATGGGACAATGCCCAGCCCACTGAGCCACACTGACCAGGGCAGTTTCCCAGTTTTTAAAATAACACCTTACAGAGGTAAAGATTGTAGAGTCTTACAATATGGTTTTGTCAACAAATACAAAGAATTTAGGACAAGTCACATCCTAAGATGAATCTGGTGTAATACGTAGCAAATGTAATACAGTGCTATTGACCCAAGATAAGTGTCTATTTGCAAAGTTAAAAAAGTGATTCCTGTACTCAGCATTTGTTCTCAAGAGCTTCTGACAGAATTTAATCAGTGTAATCTGATAGAATCAGATAGAAAGAAGGGAGGAGGAAAAGAAAAGCACACTATATGTTTTCCTTTTCCTGTTTCTACCTTCCTAAAGATTTAAACAGCACCAATTGCAGTCTGAAACAGTGTACTGAAGCAAAGGTTGAAAAGTAAGTTCTTGGAGATACACAAATAACTAGCATTCTTTTAAGGAGCAGAATTTATAGACCTGATAATTTGAATTCTCTGAATGGCCTTTCATGGTCAATGTAAGTATGAATGGAGATTAGGCCACTCGTAGGCAAAAGCTGAGAAAACACTCCTAAGTTCATGCTCTGCGATCTGCCTTGTTCCCTAGCATTTTAATATACCTACCATTTAAAATGGCCTCTTCCACCTGCTGAGGCTAATGGATGTTCAGAAAGTAGATTAGAGTGAATGCATCTGTTTCAACATGATTGCTATCAAACTGGCATATATATATATATATATATATATATATGTATATATATATATATATATATATATATATATATATATATATATATATATATTGCCTGGTGCACAAAATTTGTGCACTCAGTGGGGGGCGTCCCTCAGGCAGACCAGGAGCCCTCAGGGGATTTCTGACTGACAGCTTAGGCCCAATCACTGTGGGGAGTAGGCCAAGGCCAGCATTTGGATATCCTTAGTGCTGTTGCGGAGGTGGGAGAGGCTCCCGCCACCACTGCTGCGCTAGCCAGCCGTAAGCCTGGCTTCTGGCTGAGTGCTGCTCCCCCTTTGGGAGCACACTGACCACCAGGGGGCAACTCCAGATTGAGAATCTGCCCCCTGGTGGTCAGTGTGCATCATAGCGACCAGTTGTTACACCGTTTTGTTGATTTGCATATTAGCCTTTTATTATATAGGATATTTCAGAGAAGAAGGGAGAGAGAGAAATATCAGTAATGAGAGAGAATCTTTGATTGGCTGCCTCCTTCATGCCCCCACCAGAGATCAAGTCTGCAAGTGCCCTGATTGGGAATTGAACCATGACTTCCTGGTTCATAGGTCGATCTCAACCACTGAGCCACACCAGCCTGGCCAAAGAAGTATATTTTTAACACACACACAGACAAATGCATCCTGCTGTAAGATAACATGGAATTCTGTGTGGGTTGGGTAGTTTGGGATCTCATTCAAAGGTAATTACAGCAAGTCAAATACCAAAAGGGCCCTTTTATTGGGAGTTTTCTGCTATGTGAGGCAAATTTCATTGCATGGTTCCAGAGAACAGAAATATAGGGGAAGAGGGCTCTAAAGCTATGTTTCAGTCCATGTATAGAAGCCTCTACAGTGCCAGAAATGGTGGCCTGCCAGAGGTTGGGAGGGATGTCAGGGAATCACTGAATATCACAGATGTAGTGATATGAAGGATCACTCAGAACCCACTGGAAAAGAGAATAGGAAGAAATTGTTCAAGGATACGAACCTGAAGTTATCTGCGCTTTTTGTATATACTAACATGTAAAAAAAAAAAAACCCCAGTGAAATCCATTAGATGTTTGTGAGTTATCAAGCTTTGAGAATTTGACTTTGATGGGTTGGAAAAGCATAGCCAGAAATCATTACGTCCTGTTTGGGTTAGAGTATATTTAACATGTTTATTAGGGGCCAGAGCCAAGAATTTAACTTTTTTTTAGGAGCCAGAGCCAGGAATATCAGAGGTGCTGAATGACCTTAAATGGTTTTTGGTTTTGCACTGGGACAGGAAATATATGCCATGTCCAGATGGACCAGTTCCTAGATATGGGTCACACCCACAAACACACACCCATGAGCCTGATGTGGTTTGAGGAGCAGGGATTCCTATGCTGTGTGATCTTAAGCAAGCCTTTTGCTCTGTTTTCTAAAGTGGGTTAAATGAGAAATTACAAAGAATTTCTTATTAGTATTTAAAATATAGTATTTTATAGATATTACACTGTACATGTTTTAAAAAATTAAATGGAACCACAAGATTTACCATGAAACATTTCTGTCTTCTTCCAACTCCCCCTGGATCCCCACTACATAGAAACAACTACTTCAACTCTTTCAGCTGTTTATCTGGTTTACCTCCATTTGTCTAACTAATATGCTAAAAATTTGATTTCCCGACTTTCAAACTTGACTCTCCCAGAAGACATCCTGTTGGGGGAGATGAAGCCCTCGCTCACTTGGGGCTCCTCCACTTCCATATGCTTCCCTTCAGGATCCTGTAATATAATTACTTTTTAAAAAACTCATTATCTGGGGTTCACTTTATGACTGTGAATATTGCCCACAGCTACACTCCTTGCTATATTAGGATTACATTTCTTTCTTCGTATAACTTTTTGCTTTTCTTAGAGGTAATGACTGTTCTGTTTGTTAGTTTAGTTTTCTATATACACAATTACTAATTCATCCTCAGACTGTCTCTTGGTCTGCTCAGGCACCTCAGGTAACCTTGGTCCGCTGTCTTTCTTGTCTCATGGATGACTGGGGATATAACCTCTACAGCTTGCCGCTTCGTGCTCCATCTGTGCGGGGTGCTCCTGAGACTGCTGCCCACCTGTCATCCTGGAGCCTGCCTTGACCAACCCTTGGGAATTTACATCACCTCTCTT